TTTCTATAGCAGCCAAATGGTTCTTCTTCATGCCGGGAAACGAAAATCATAGAAACCTCAAAACCCCCAGCTCTTGTACTAAGCAAAAGGTCCTTAACAACAAGAGAGAAGAGGTATTAAAAATCAGAAGGTCACTAGGTCTTGTTTCTAAATAAAATTTCTCAGAGGGCTTTTTTTGTCCTCCTAAATCAAAAGACATATTTCAAAAAGCAAGAGGCCTCCAGGACATGGGCTGCCAGCCTGGCTCCCTGTCCTCACATGGCCTTGGAGACAAGGCAGTCACTCTCTCCTGTTCCTGCTGGTTCCACCTGTAGAATGGACGGAGGCCTCTCCCAGTCCTACTCCTCACTCTCAGCTCCTCATTCAGAGAGAGAGAGGGAGAGATGGAGGGAGAAGACAGATGTAGAGGGAGAGAGAGAAACATTCTTCTTCCAAACTTCATGCCCAGGGTGTCCTGGCCTTCACCTCCCTCTTAGGGCCAAATGCACTACAATGTCACATTCTCCTCATAGACGTTCTTCCTTCTGCTCCCTACTCATACCCTCTTCACACACCCCTTCTGCTACCCACCAGCTCCCCACAGACTCCATATGCCCCCATCTCTTCCCCACAGTCAGCTGCCATTCCCTCAATCCTCTCTCCACAGATCATTTTGCCTATCACTTTCCTGCAAGACCCTCTGCCTTCACCAGCTGCCCATACTTACCCTCATTCTCTACCCACAGACCCCCTTTTCCTTGTCCCAGACTCAATTCTGCCTCTGGTTGCACTATGCAGGCATTCCCTCATGCTCTCCCCCAAGATATAAATTATTTAGGTCAACCAGAGTCTCCTGCCCAAGTTCTGCTCTATGCTTCATCCTCCTGGACCTGATTTCTTGCCTTTCCTTCCCTTCCAAACTTCTTACTCTGCCCTCAAATCTTTTGTTCCTGATCAGTAAAGTCTCCCCTATCCTTAGCTCTTTCGTGGCTCCACACTTGCTCTGCTCAGCTCCAGCCTACCCCGAAAGCTGGGTCTTCCTCAGGGCACCATTTCTGCATAGCTCACCCTGGAGAAGGCCGCTTACACTTTTACATCCCAGGGATCTCAGGGCTGGGAGAGGGGCTAAGGTCTCCCTACCAAAGCCCACCTCAGTTGCTACTCTACCTGTTCTTTGTGAAAACACCTGCTACTTTAGCGTCGTGCCATTCAGCTGTATTGACCTTTGCCCCTCCTCCTGCTGTCACCTACAGACTACAGAACAACCTGCTATATTCATCAAGGACTTTGGTACTTGGCTCACAAGCATCCCCCTTCCCTTTCCCCTCTTCAAGTTTTGCCATCACCTGGCAGGGGCGGGGGGAAGGCAGCAGATTTCAAAGGCCATATCAACATCCTGGCTGTCTTCTGTACTCCATTTTGGCACCCTACTACCGTGGCCACACCCTGGACCTTGTCATCACCTGAAACTACTCAAACTTCATTATTCCACTTTGTGAATATAATTCTCTCATTCAACTATTTCCAAGATCTGCGTTCTCTGATTTCACTGGGACCTCCAGCCCATAACACTTTTATACTCTCCTATGCAGTTTAGGGTCTATGGTCCACCATCTCAATCACTCTTTCGCCAGGATCCTCAACTTCCTTGTCCTTTGTCCTTCCACTTCATCCACCTGATAAAATTCAAACTTAGATCAACTTAATTCACCTTTCTGCACCCACCAGTAGATGGCCAAATATTGTTGGGGGAAAAATACATAGCACACAACCATGCAGACTGCTGCTGCAATAAATTAATGGTCTCCAACCTCAAGAGAAGGACTGATGCTGAAGCTGAAACTCCAATACTTTGGCTACCTGATGCGAAGAACTGACTCAATTGAAAAGACCCTGATGCTGGGAAAGACTGAAGGCAGGAGGAGAAGGAGACAACAGAGGATGAGATGGTTGGATGGCATCACTGACTTGGACATGAATTTGAGTAAACTCCAGGAGTTGGCGATGGACAGGGAGGCCTGTCATGCTGCAGTCCATGGGGTTGCAAAGAGTTGGACAAGACTGTGTGACTGAACTGAACTGAACCTCAACAGGGCTCATAACTTCCCAGAAATCTGTAGGCTAGCCCAGTCAACCTGCTTCCATTCTTCAAGGCAGCTATTTCAATCCTCCTCTGCTCATCTCAAATCTTGCACTCCATCTCCAACCTCTCTCTCCCTGGCTAATACCATGGTCCTACTACACAGAAAAAATAGAATCCACCAAACATGAATTTTCTCAACTTCCTGCTACCAAATCTACTATTGTACTAGTCTTACATACTTCCTTTGTGTCACAAGGCAGATATCCCTCGAAGTGAATTCTGCCATCAATGCTTTGGATCCCCAACCTTATTCTTTACCTGCGGGCACCACTCTGTTATTTCCTCTTCCCTATAATCTTCTTCCTCTTTGCTGGATCCATACCAACCTCATTTATCCCATATGAATAAAAACCTGTCTCTCCTTCCAGCTATCACCTCTCTCTTCTCCTAAAGAGCCAAACTTCTTGAAAGTATAGTCTTCACTTCCTCACCTTCCCACTTACTTTTCAGCTCAATGTAATTTGACCTCTGCTCCTGCAGTTCCACTGAAACTGCCTTTACAATCACTTCCTTGTTTCTAAATTCAGTGAATCTTTTTAGATTTTATTTATCTTGATTAGTAATCAGCCTTTAACATTTTTCTCCTTGGTTACTGGAAAAGCACGTTCTACTACTGATTAATGAACAATTGTGGATGAGATGGCTGGATGGCATCACCAACTCGATGGACATGAGTTTGAGTAAACTCCGGGAGTTGGTGATGGACAGGGAAGCCTGGCGTGCTGCGATTCATGGGGTCGCAAAGAGTTGGACACAACTGAGCGACTGAACTGAACTGTAGATACTTCACCTCAATTACCTTTGCAGATTCATTCTCCTTTGCCAGAACCTCAAACACAGGTGCTTCTCAGGGTTCTATCCTAGGCTCTCTCTTCTTTTAAAAATGTTTATTTCTTTGGCTGCCCGAAGAAATAAACTCCTGCATGCTCAGTTGTGGCATGCGGGATCTTTAGCTGCAGCATGAGAACTCTTTATTGTGGCATGTGGGATCTAGTTCCCTGACCAGGGATCAAACCCAGGTCCCCTGCACTGGGAGCATGGAGTCTTAGCCACTGGACCATCTCTTCTTTCTCTACGCAGACTCTCTGGGCAAGCCAAACAAATCAGTTCAGTGTGTGACTGCCATCTTTAAGACACTACAGACTAAATATTTTAATTTCCAGTTTAGATCTTATCTTGCAAACTCCAGTCAGGCATACTCAGCTGCCTCCTGGACACTTCCACTTGGATATTCCACTGGCACCTCAAACTCACCATGCCCAGAACTCTTTCCTAACAACTCTCCTTTATGTTTGCCCAAGACAGGAATTTAGACATTCTTCACTTTTCCTACTTACCCCACATCCAACCAGTCACCAAGTCCAGTTCTTTTAAACTCATAAGTGTCTAAGGAATCCATCCTTCTCTTCAATCCTGTTACCTCTCCACGCTTCAGGCCACCATAATCCTTTCACATGACTGAAACAATGTCCTAAACTGGTCTCCCTCCTTCTCCCAGTCTCCAATCCATTCTTTTCATTGATCTTTCTAAAACATTAATCTGATTGTTATTCTTTTGTTTAAACCTCTGCAGCCTCCCCATTGTCCTTAGAATAAAGACTAAGCTCTGGTGCTCGGTGGCATAAAATGCATTGGAAATAGTTTTCCATCAGTAAGATCTACTCATAAATTCAGGGTTGAGTGTGGCATCAAAGACCCTCCAGAATCTGGGCCTACCTATTCTTCCAAGGTTGCTCTCCCATTAGTCTCTCCTCTGGCCAGAAGATGCCCAGAGTTCCTGGCACCAACCCCTCACTTTCCTCTTTGAGCCATGCAAGGACTCATGTCTCCACAAGTCTTTCAAAGCCCAGCTCAAGAGCCATCTGCACTGCCATAAATTCCCCTTCTCAATCTGAGCTCCTAAAATCCTTAGGGTCTGCTCTTCTTGTAGTATTTATCCCTCGCATAGTATTAGAGCTGGTTCACGCACTGTCTCTCTCCCTCTCCTTTTAAGAATTACGGAAGTGAAGCGAAGTGAAAGTTGCTCAGTAGTGTCCGACTCTTTGCGACCCCATGGACTGTACAGGGAACACTCCAGGCCAGAATATTGGAGTGGGCAGCCTTTCCCTTCTCCAGGAGATTTACGGACGTCAGGGTCAAAAACAATCCTAACTAGAGCCCGCTTATGTAACAGATGGTAAGTAAATATTTTTTAAGTGCGTGGATAAATTTAAGAAAACTTTACTCCCTAACCCCTTATGTCGCGCACGACCAGGGCACTCTCCAAAGTCTTCTCCAGAAGATAGCACCTCCTTTGCATTCTACCCATCCCACCACTCAAAATCAGCCTCGACCAACTGGGTGGACCACGGGCTGGCACGCACCACTGTGGCCGTTTTGTATGGTTTTTCTACCTCCATCCCTCGGAGCTGCGGTTGGTAGAGGTCGGTGGAAGAAGCTAGATGATACAAGTCAAAGGGCACTGTTGTCCGTTCGGTAGGATAAGACTCGGTTAAGAAGGGAAACCCTTCTGATCCCTAGAAAACGCAACTCTCCCACAGACCCCCTTACCTACACGGGAGGGTGGGGACTCTTCCTGACAGGCGCCTTAGCTGGCCAATACCTAATCCAGACAAAGCGAGCTAGCCAATGGCCGGGGGCCAGAGATAGAGCAGGGCGGGGCATGGTTGCCAGGGCCTAGCAAGCGGGGTACGGCGAGAGGCTCCGAGACACTCGGTAGTTGCCAGGGATAGAGGTCACAGAGCGCGGCTTGGGGATTGGGTAGCGTCGAGGGAGGTGGGTGGTGATTGGGCGGTGCCCAGGAGTCGCTTGGGTGAGGTGCAGGCGCGCGAGCGGGAGTTCCTGCCGGAGGCCCAAGCTGACGGCCGGCTCCTTCACCATGGCTTCAGCCCAGCTGGACTACACCATCGAGATCCCGGATCAGCCCTGCCGGAGTCAGGGTATGGAACGAGGGTTGGGTCCTGTCGTGGGTAGGTGACCTAAGGAGTCCGTGGGTTGCAAGCCCAGTTGTGGCCCCGCCCCTCCTGCGGCCCCGCCCTCTCGCGGCCCACCTCCTCATAGGATCCGGCTGGTCCTTAGACTTGGTCGAGTCCAAAGAGCCCCGCCCCTTAGTAAGCCCCGCCCCCATGGCGCTGTCCCTGTCCGAGCCCCGCCCCTCCGCGGCGTCCACACGCCCCCCGCCCCCCACCAGGTTGGGGCTTTTTTCCCCTGTCTCTTTAGTTCTCAGGTCCAAGTTTTCGCTTCTCTCCCAGTGACTGAAGGCTGCCGAGGACAGGGGACATCCTGATTCCTTTGTTTGGAGTCGGGTTTCCCACTGCTATTCTTTCTTGGCGGTTGTGCTTAGGGGCTTCCACTCGTTATATTACATCCACTATTTTTCCCAGGGTCCATGGAGAAGCCCAGGACATAGAACCTTCACCCTTTCCTCCTCTGCACTCTCCTAGGCAGTATAGTTAGCAGAGCCGTCTCTGCTGTGAGTTAGAAGTCGGCTCAAATCCCGACTCCTCCTTTCAGTAGCTGCGTGACCGTTGGTAGGTTTCCAGCTCTTAATTTCGGTTTCCTCATCTGCACAGTTGGGGTACCAACAATAATCTCCCTCCGACGGTGGTTGGTTGTACAACTGAGATTGTTTGTGTAAAGGACCCAGCATAATGCTTGGCACTGAGTGAGTTTAGTGATTAGCTTTATTTTCCTCCCTACAGTCATATTAGAGAAAGGAGTGTGGCAGGGCCACAGAATTAGTAGCCTGTAGAGCAGGTCTGGATCCCTGGCAGTGTGAGTCGGATTGGGGTTCCACAGAATAGAAAGTTTGGCCCGGATTGGGAGTGAATTATGGTAGAGGAGCCTTGTCATACAGCCCAGCTCAAGCTGCAGGTCTTGCCTGTCTTACTCCACATCACTTTCACACCGCCAGTCTCACCACCAGCTGCACCTCACCTCTTCTGCCACCCCAGCCATCTTCCCAATGCAAAGCTTTGATCTTACCACTATTCTAGCTAGAACCCTACAGTAACTCTTTTTTTGCCCTCAGGATAAATCAAGTCCTGATTTCTTAGCATGGCATTCAAAGTCCTTCATCATTTAGCAGCCCCTGCTTACCTCTTTGTTCACTATGTCCTTTCACTGTTCACTTTAAGTTTTGTGTTTCGGCCTCCCTAGCTGCTTGTGAGTCTCCACACCCTTCCTGCTTCTCTCTGCTCCTGCTGTTTCTTCTGTCTGGAATGCCTTTTCCTCTCTGCTGCCCGACTCTGCCCGCTCCCATGTCTGGTTCATCGTTAAACGCTTCTCTCAGATATTACCTCCTTCAAAAGAGCCTTCCCAGACCCCTTGCATAGCAGCTTGTGTTCTTTGGATCGGGTCTAAGAGGGGAGTGCAACCCTTAGGCTCTTGACAGAGCAGGTAGCCCCAGACCAGTTGCGTTTCACTGAGCTGGATCTGTTAGCCAAGGGCTCTTGGTCTTATAGATGTAAAAATGCTTTTGAAAAGTCTTGGCATCAGTGGGAGATGAAGTCAATTAATATTTTTACCCTTGGGAACTTCCCTCGTGGTCCAGTGGCTAAGACTGCAGGCTCCCAATGCAGGGGGCAGGGTTCGATCCCTGGTCAGGGAACTAGATCCCGAATGCCACATCTAAAGACCTGGCACATGCTGCAACTAAGACCTGGCACAGCCAAATAAATAAAATATTAAAAAACTATTTAAAATAATCTTTAAAAAGATTATTGCCCTTGGAGCACCTTTAGTTGCAAAGGCCTAAAGCTGCCTTCTGCGTGGCCAGGAGGGCAGAAGTTTGTTCCTCAGCCCCAGTGGGCAGCCTTTGCGTTTCAGTTCTACCTCCTGCTCTTCTTTGGTTTTGGCAAGTTATTGAACCTCTCTGAGCCTCAGATTCCCCAACTGTAAAGTGAAAGTGATAAGAGTGCCTACCCCACGGCATTGTGAGGGTTAATGAAGTAGTGACTGACATGGAGCAGGTGTGTGTGTTCCTGTGTGTGCTGCCTGACGTGTGCTCTGTCAGTATTATTTCTTCCCCTTGTGGCTCCCCCACTGCTTCAAGGGGCTGGGTCCTAGAACTGGAAGAAATCTCAGGGGGCCATTTTGTCCTGCATCTTTCTCCTGTCAGGAGAGCTTGCTGTTAGCACCAGACCCTTCCCTGACAGGATGTGTGTTGTGTTAGTGTGTTAGTCACTCATTCGTGTCCGACTCTGCGTCCCTATGTACTGTAGCCCGCCGGGCTCCTCTGTCCATGGGATTTTCCAGGCAAGAATACTGGAGTGGGTTGCCATTTCCTTCTCCAGGGGATCTTCCCAACCCAGGAATTGAACCCAGGTCTCTTGCATTGCAGGCAGATTCTTTACTTTCTGAGCCTCTGGGGAAGCCCTTCCTCCCAAATATCCTGGCCTGTTGGAGGCAACTGGATTGTTAGAAGGCTTCCCTTTCTGGAGCCACAATAGACCTTCCTGTCACTTCTGCTTTCAGGTCAGCATTAGCTGTGTCCTGTCCATGGGCTAGTTGCTGGTCACCTCAGAAGTGACTCACACACAGACTCCCTGCAAGGAGCTGTGGTTCAGGGAGGATTGAGGATTTAGAAGCAGGTGGTTTCACAGTGATGTGGTAACTGCAGGGCTAGGAGGTTGTGGTGGGTACAACACAGAGCAAGGTAGTCTCTCTTCCTCTCTTTTCAAGATGACAGCTTCATCTCTTTTCTCCAAGAGAAATACCCCCAGGGCCTTCAGCTGTTCCTCCTCTGGTGTGGTTCTAATAACCCTTTCCTCATGATTGCCCTTCTGCACTGGCTTTGGTTCCTCATGCCTTTCCCTCTCCAAGTGCGTACCTCAGAGCCAAACTCGAGCCTGTAGGACCCCTCAGAAGGAAGTGACAGCAGTGTGACCCCCCACGTCTCTTTGCTTCCTGTGTGTAGAGAGCTCCCCTCCAGGCTGATGTGGCTTCACAGAGTGACAGTCTTTGGGGGCCGGGAGATTGTCTCTCTTTTGCACTTACTGTTTAAAGGTGGAGAAATGTGGAAGATGGTCATATTTGGTTTCTGGAATTGCGTTTCCCCCACACCTGAGCTTTAGAGGCCACAGAGCCTGGCACTGCTGTGAGCTGATAGAGAGGCGAGCAGCTGCTGCGGGCACACAGGTGGCGGGAAGGCAGCTGCAGATCTGGGGCCCTTCATTGCTCAGGGTCCTTCTGCTGGAATTCCCACCAGGCAGTTATCTGTGGCCGACTGGGCCTAACAAGGATCGTCTGCCTGGTCCTTTGCCAAAGGTGATCCCTTGACCTGGCATTCCTCCCTCCCCACCAACTCTTCTTTGACCAGTGGTCCCCTCACCCTCCTAATGAGAGTTGGGTATTCTCCTCTCATTTCCTTGGGGAAGGTTCTGTTCTCAGGGCCCCCAGTGTAGGGATCCCTGTCGTGTTGTTTGGAGGGTTTTGCTCACTGTTGCCAGAGTCTGGCAAGGAAGATGTGCCCGATGAGCTGAAGGGAGACATTTGGCAGCACTCCGGCCCCGCCCGAGGTGCTCTGCCATTCAGGCCAGGGTGGCGCTGCCCCTCCTCCGAGCCCGAGACTGGTCAGCCAAGTCCTGCCCCAGGGCCCCTCTGCGGCTTGCGCAGGCACTTCTTAAAGGCATCCTGTTGCTCTCATGTTCCGTAAACAGCTTTACAAATAATTGATTTACAAAATTAGTGGGGCTGGGACAAGGGGCTCACTCTTAGCCTTCCGGGGAGTCACAGAGAAGGCAAGCGATAGGTTTGCTGTGAGCCCAGGCTTCATTGTCAGTCTACCCTTGGGCTGAGCACTGGCTGGGGTCAAAGAAATGAAGACCTTGTCTTGACCCCGAGGAAGTTTCTCCCAGCGCCAGGGAAACAGTATGGGGTGGACCATAGTTGGGACCACCATGGTGGGCTGCAGGGGTCAGCTGGCCTCCTGGAGAAGAGTGACCCACGCTGTGGATAGGGAGCAGCAGAAAGTGCAGACTGGGGCATGGGGGACTGGGAGGGGCCCAGAGGAGTGGGGCCTTGGCAGGAGGCTGAGATGTGCTCTCAGGAGCAGGGGTAAGAGAAAACCTCAAGAGCTGTCACACCAAAGAGGCCTCACAAGCCTGGCTGCTGAGTTGAATTAGACTCTCTTCTTGTCTGTGTGAACCCCAGGGGTGCTTTTTTTTTTTTCTAAACAGAGGAGTTTTGTTCATTTTTTGAATCATGACCTCTTCTTTCATTCATTAATAGAAACCCTTCCTAATTTGTCTGCTTTGTGCCAAGCGTCATGCTAGGCCCTGGATCTGAGCTCCAGACCTGAAGGACCCTTTGCCTGAGGTCTCTGTGGTTTCTGTTGGGCTTACACTGTTGACCACGCCCTGCTCACACGCCAGGTTCACCAAGAACCCCTCATATGATTTTATTACTCTTTCGACCTCCTTGTGAAGTCTGGAGTACTCTTATCCCATCTGACAGATGAGGGACAGGAGCTCAGGGGAGGTGAAGTGTCTTGTCCCAAGTCATCCCGGGTTCCAACCCAGGAGCCTCACTCCAATGCCTGTGTATGCATATTTCAGTTGCCATCAGGAAGTGCTGCCTGAATACAGTTCCATTTCTCGGAAACAGTTAAGGACATGCATGAAGAAAGAGATGTCCATTAAAGTACTTTTATAACAGCAAAAGATTAGAAACAACATCGTGTCCAATAATGGGAGCTTGGTCACCATAAATTACAAAACATCTATAGCTGCTCTGTAGCCACTAAAAAGAATGGTGTAGAAATATATAAACCGACAGGGAGAGATGTTCACAATATATTGCTAAATGGAAGAAAGCAGATTACAAAACGGTATGATTCCAATTGTATAAGATATTCATTTTCTACTTTTTCTACAGTGAGCATGCATTCATCATGAAGTAATAACTTCAATTCATTGAACACTTTCTCTGTGCTAGGGTA